ATCATTTTTTAAAATCATGAATTGTGATCAGTGTTAGACCATCCGTAATGCAATTATATGTGCTCACTAGGTGACTAGATCCGTGAGGAATCTTCTCCGAGTTCCAGTGGGAAGTGGTGACCAGTGATGTTCAACCTGTTTGGCTATGGTAGACAGTGACTACCGGATATAGTATATGAGGTTGGGTAAGACCGTGAATTGATCTAAGTTAGACATTAAGAGAGTTAGATACTGGCTCAGTTGTCCAGAGGGTTAGGCGTTCGTGCGCTCAATACCCAAGGTACTGGGTTCGATTCCTGTAAGGTACAAGAATCACGTATGCGAACAGCTGATGAGTCCCATATTAGATTTCGAGTGTGTAACTTAACTATCTTCACAACCCCGTAATGCAATTAACCACTTCGTTTTTCAGAAAAATAGTAGTACAAATTGTAAATTGAAAAACCTCAAATACATGATTTTAATGTTAAAAAAACACTTAAATTAGTTTTGTTTTAACAAATTTCTATGATATAAACAAAAAATTCAAATTACTTATTTCATCAACATTTGATGAGGTGTGACTAGCTGAATAAGGATGTTATGCATGCACGTAAATATGTCAATATGATATGCTTGAACTATTATGAGTTTACCTTAATCAGAAAACGAGAGCGTGGATCGAGGATCCGGCGACGCCACAGGCTACCCTAATCCGAGTGTCCCAACCCCCCCCCCCATTGAGTAAAAGAAGAAGACTTGATATGAAGTACAACCTGTATTCTACGTACATCCAGAAAGAAAAGTATGAGGTCTGAATCCAGAAGAGAATCAGGATCCCGGACTAGAGACCCGTGTTTGGGTCGAATAGGAAACAACATTGTAGTACGTGACGTCGACAGTTAAGACGACCATAATATTGACCAGTAGGAATTGACCAATAGAATAAGACTTACAAAAATAATTCTCTTAGGATATTTGAAGGATATCCTACCAAAGGATTTTCTCCGTACAAGATATTCTGTTAACGCCTATGATAGACAACATTTCTACTGTCAAACATTGTTCGTCCACTTTAAAATCTGAATTGGGAACAGAATCTCTCCAATATGTTATCCACTTAGCTTATTGAGGCCAAATAACAAATAGTTTGTGTATATATTCCTGAAAAGCGTGATTCGCTTTAATGAATAATATCTATAAACACAAGTGTCTAATTCTTTTCAGATGACAAGAGGAAACAAACCAGATTTCATTGGAGGAATAAATCAGAAAGAAGTGCTGGGGATGGACAGGAAACACATTGAAGAAAGCACCCAACTGCATCACAACACAAGCTCTTTGCTTCGAATCTTCAAGGCCAACACAAATGAGGGAGACCAAGGAACACATTAGGCGGGTAAATGTAAACAGACATGAGAACAATGAACATAACTGGAAACAGAGGCCTAGACTAGTGTGGATGGAGTGATGCTGGTAAGCGGCCTATGTTCCATTAGGGGTAACAGGCAAAATTGGTTAAGTAAGTAAGCAAGTTTATTCACATAAAATCGCCATTCACTTACATAATGTATTGAACTTTTTGTTCCAGACAACTACTGACTCGTTAAACATATATGATCTTACTTAGAATTCTTATGAAAGTAGAAAGAGAGACAGATCAAAGAACACATTGGACTGAGAATTGGATGAATAACATTTGGAAACAACTAGAGAGGAGAGCCCAGGACAAAGTAGGCTTCAGAAACCTAGTTAGTAAGTAGCCTATGCTCCATGATACGTTATATTCATAAGTTAGTAAGTAATGTGCACTTATTGTGTTCAGGATGAAATGTACTGAGTTGGAATCCGTGTGAAAATATTAATACTAAAAGATAGGTTTATTCAGATGATAGAACGCATACACGATAAAATCCTTATCGTGACTACCACAACTTCTTTAATATAATGATAATTCTGTCAGAATACACGTTTCCCAATATAAACTGATTATCATTGAAGTCGTGAATCGTTTATTGTCAGATCACCATTAGAAACCAGAAATCACTGGACGGTTGTTTCGTCGTCGTATTGTGGTGCTGTGGTGCGAACTACTTATAAGTAGTATATGACGTGAGTGTCAACGTAGAGTCTGGTAGCATAATACGGGGGGAAGATCAAGAAAGGAAGAGTTAGAAAACAATGGAATTTGTATCAAATGCATGAATAGTGACAATGGATTGATGTTTGGCAACAGAAACAGTCCAGTTCCATAGGATGAACTGATAATTTGCAAATGAACGATTTACGATATGGTTTTCCGATTTTACTGAGTAACTCTGTAATTTTCGTTAAATACAATTCGGTTGTCCCCACCTGAGGTCTCATTCACTACAGTATGATACCCGTTGTTAGCGCATTTCCACGACCCTCACTAACAGAAATCGAGCACAGGACCTTCGACCCCGCGCTCTAACACATAACCTCTATAAAATTGAGCAGCCGGTCACTCAACAGTGTCAATATCCAACTATAATCAGTCTAAGGTTTTTCACAACACTATACATTATCTTCTGTAGGTAACTACCTACACTCAACAAGGTTGAATTCCACTGTTCACAACTTCTTACTTGAACTTCAAGAATTTCCACATAAATCTAATCACTAGCAAATATCTTTCGTTGTATGATTTTCACTAGAGAGTTATGCAGATTGTTGAGTTTCATTGAAGCCATGATGAGGCTGATGAATTCACACGTTGTAATTATCACACACCAATACACACACACATATACAAACACACACACTATTCATTTTGAATAACAAAAATAGGAAGGGAAATTGAAAGAAAAAAATCTATAAGAAAATCTTCAACTAAATTTCATAACATGGTTCTGTTTAAAATTTTTAATTAAAATTAAACGGAAACAGTGGATAATTGATTCTTTTGAATTGAATAAAACAAAACAAAATAACTCTTAATTTAAAAAAGAAAAACAAAAAACAAGATTCATTGTTCAATAAGCATGTTGTTGGTTTGTTTTAGTAGAGTGGTTTTGTTTTTACACTTTTCAAAAAAAAAATTATAACCGGTAATTATAATCTTTATCATTAGATTTTATTAACAAAGGAGAAAATAGAGAGAGAGAGCGAGAGAGAAATTTCTCACTTTTCTTCCTGTTTAAATTAATTTTTTTCAGATTGATATTCTTAGGAAATCTGTAGATAACACTCAGTATTAACTATTTGTGAATGTTTTTAATATACTACTGTTGATATTACTGTTGGAGATGTTAGATCCCCAGAATTCATTTGAAAAAAATCCTAATTTTGGATTATTTTTTTAATGTTTTCGCGCATAAGCTATTTAGTTGACTTTTAGCTCGCATTTCCCACTCGGAAAATTCTTGACTGTGACTGGTTGATGCATTATTTTTGTGGCTATCTCAAGGATGTTTCTACCATGTATACATAAATTCGATTTGTGTTTTTGTAGAATACACTTTCGACACCTGATCAAGACTTCTTGATATAGTTAGCCGGGCCGGGTAGTAGCCGATCGTGTCAGGGAATCATTTGTCTTTGCGCCGTTTGCTGAGTAAATTGAACTCGTAATAGTTTCAAGCATATCAGAAGCATAGGGTCGCCGACTAGCAAATTATTTTTTCTGGTTAGCGTTTTATTTCAGTGATTTGGATTTGTACAGGATTGAGTCACTAACCCCATGCTCAACCCTCTATGTCTGACTTTATCCTAGAAGGTCTCCAGGTGAATTTATGTAACATATATATCCAATGATAAGCATAATATACTCTAACCCTAACCCTAATGGAATAAAGGTCACCGATCAGTATTCTCCAACCTATTCTATTCTGAGTCTCCTGTTCGATTTCTATTCAATTGATATTCATTCTTTTCAAGTTTGCTTCCAGTTCTCGGCTTAATATATTATTTAGTCTGCCTCTTCTCCTTTGGCCTTGAGGGTTCCAAGTGATGACTTGTCATGTGACATGTTTGGGTGCTTTGTTCAATGTGTGGCCTATCCACATCCAGCGACTCTTCCTCCACTGGAATCAGGTTTGTTTTCTCCCACAGTAGGATGTTGCTTATAGTGTCTGGCCAACGGATTCGAAGTATTTTGCGTAGACAAATGTTGATAAACATTTGTTACTTCTGGTTGATGGCTTTGATAGTTCTCCAAGTTTCCGCTACACACAGTAGAACTGTTTTAACGTATGTATTCAAAACTGTGACTTTGGTGTTGATTGATAGTTATTTTGAGTTCCAGGTATTTTCAATTGTAGAAATGCAACCCGTGCTTCGCTAATCCGAGCCTTCATATGTGCATTAGATTCGTCTTATTTATCAGTGATGCTGCCCAGATATGTGAAGGTTTTCTTTACATTTCCCGAAGCTTCTCCATTAAGTGTGATTTTGTTGGTGCTTGTTAGGTTATTTAAAAGAATTTATCTTATTCCCTTTTTTAATGTTGAGACCAATTGCTGAAGAGGCTGCTGCTGCTAATGCAATGGACGTCTTTTCCTGCATTTGTTGTTGTGTTTGGGACAGAAGGGCTAGATCAACTGCGAAGTCTAGATCGTCCAGCTGCATCCTATCTGTCCATTGTATATCGTGCTTCCCCACAGAAGTTAGTGTCATAATAATCGCATGCCCGTCGGACAGATTAGCTCTTCCTTGAGCCCCTCTGTGGCTACTGCCGGCCTCAAACACGGATAATAAAGGAGGGTTTGCGATGAGGTTGGTGACCCTATTCGATAGAAAAATAACTCGCTACACAACTGCTAACCAGAAATAAAAAATTATTTAACAGTCATAACTTTATCATAAGAGGATTAAATCCGAAATGTTACTGTATCATTGGGAGTGCTTAGCATTTTAGTATCAATAGCTAACCTCACTAGACATTGAGGAATGAGTTCTAGATATTAGTAGCATACTGTCAAGTGTTGTTTTGTAATTTTTCAACAGTTGCACAACATTAAAACTAGTCCATAATGAAAACTTTACAATCATGATGATCTCTACGAAGTAGTAGTAGTAGTAGTAGTAGTAGTAGTAGTAGTAGTAGTAGTAGTAGTAGTAGTAGTAGTAGTAGTAGTAGTAGTAGTAGTAGTAGTAGTAGTAGTAGTAGTAGTAGTAGTAGTAGTAGTAGTAGTAGTAGTAGTAGTAGTAGTAGTAGTAGTAGTAGTAGTAGTAGTAGTAGTAGTAGTAGTAGTAGTAGTAGTAGTAGTAGTAGTAGTAGTAGTAGTAGTAGTAGTAGTAGTAGTAGTAGTAGTAGTAGTAGTAGTAGTAGTAGTAGTAGTAGTAGTAGTAGTAGTAGTAGTAGTAGTAGTAGTAGTAGTAGTAGTAGTAGTAGTAGTAGTAGTAGTAGTAGTAGTAATGACGACAACATCTATTATTATTCAGAGACGACAGAAGTCAAACTTGTCAATCAATATATGTAGACTTGATGTTTAATAGGTTAAAAGCTTGTGAGTTAGACCATCGATCACAAATAGCATTGTGGGTGTAAACTAAGCTACTGAAATGCCTCATACTAAAACTAAACAATTATCTCTTTTTTCGTCAATTAGAGTTATAGAGATTAGTGTTTGTTCACAGTGAAATCATCAATCAATCATTGTTAGACAACTATTAGAAACCTGGAAGCACTGGACTTCCTGGTATGGGACTCTCGAATGTCAGTGCGCATCCACGACTCCTGCACCTTGTAGGGTTCGAACCAAGGACCTTCGGTCTGGAGCACCAACGCCTAATCTGGTATGGGTGAGATCACGCAAAATCCCTAAATTGATCAGAGTTAGACAGTTACACTGTTGGATGCCGGCCCAGTGATCCGGAGATTAAGCGTTCACACTCAAGACCGAAGGTCCTGGGTTCGAATTCTGCCGGTCGCAGAATTATCTCTTCAATGCTTCTTGGTTTCGCCCATAAGATTAACTATGAAAGAGAATAATAGTTTACAATTTAAAAAAAAAAACTAAAACAAAGCCTCAACTAACTAAATATAGTTGATTTCTCCAAATTTCATCAGCTACAAATAAACAACATCTTCGGTTTAACTGTCATGATAGTCAATAGCTTTGAAAAAAACAACAAACCAATCAACTACGTGTGTCGAAAAATCTAAATCTGATTGGTCAGTAAGTAGGAATTATTAAAACATATTTCACACAGAAAGAGATATATTGAACAACTTTACAATACGATGTTCAATATTTATCACTGTCAAAATCATACTGGACTGACAATGATGCGAAAAATTTTACACTACACTATTATTATGAATGTATGATTCCCAAGCCTTTCTTTATTTCACTTTGATTACTTATTATTTCACAATCAGTTGTTACATTATTTTTTTATTGATATTAGAATCAAGTCGTAAATGATTAATCGATTTACATGAATAAAATTCAAACAAAATTATGATAAACAAATAAAATTTATTCAAAATTATCAGTCATTAAAATTCATGTGAATTAGGATGTTACAATCTGCATTTTGAAGATAAGCTTCTATGTGCATAGTTGGCTAATAAATGACAGAGAGAACAACATTGAGGTGAACTCTCTATCCCTATGAAATTTCTGTCATCATGACAAAAAATGAAAGAAAATAAAATACGTTAACATTTTTATATGTTCTGTATAGTTTAAGGATTCGATTCCTGTCAGTAGAAGGAGTCATGGATGTACACTGTCACTGATAAGTAATCTCATACCAAGATGAGACGGCCGTATAGTACTTTGTAGTTTATTTATACTGGTGATAGTCTAACTCTGTTCGATTAATGATTTTAATAAAGTCAGTCAGTCAATTATAATGTAGAACTTTGTACTTAGGTACATCAGTTCAATTTGCATTTCACATTAGTGCAAAGAGATGCAGTTGTTAATTCAAGTCCCATAGTAGTACAGGTGGTTTTTGGTGGAAGCACTGAATGACGGCCGTTTCGTCCTGGTATGGGACTCATTAGCGTCAGTGCACATCCACAACTCACAACTCCTGCACTTCACAGGATTCGGATACAGAAGCTTCGGTCTGGCGCGCGAATTTCCGACCTCTTGACAACTGAGACGGTATCTAATGGTGTAAAATGTCTAACTTTGATCAATTCACGGTCTTGCTCAAACTTATACCCCGTCTCCGATAATTACTGTTTATACCTGAACAGGTTGAATTTCATTGGTCACGACTTCCCACTAGAACTCGGAGAAGATTCCTCACAGATCTAGTCACTAGTGAGCATAGGTATTTGCATAACTGGATTGTAAAGAGTGTTGAGTTACAGATTTGAAATCATGAATCGATCGAAGTTAGACCACCATTAGAAACCTTGATGCTCATTGCCACCGATGAGTCCCATATTAGGACGAAATGACCGTCATTCAGTGTTTCCAGGTTTCTTATGTTGGTCTAACATCGATCGATTTTATGGTTTCCAATGTGTAAATTAACATCATGTTATCGTTCTTTCGCTTGTCAGCAAATTGCCCAGCCATCAAGATATCTTGAATTGTGCATTTTTGTAACTTCTAATGAAATAGATCATAAAAGTTTTTATATACGCGCGCGTGATTAACAGTACTAATACACTGCATTTATAATCTCAAATTTTTCGTTTTCAAACTAAATTTTTCTTATACATTGTTTTGAAATGGTGTGAATTCTCACAGTTGATAGTAAAATAATGAAATTAAAATGAAACCTAATTATTTATTTTCTAACTGATATTATTGAATAAAGTAAATTGTTCAATTTCAATTTATCAGTAGAATTAATTGTTTACTGAAGAATGAATTAACAAAATTTATTAAATAAACAAAATTTTACAATGGAAAAATGCAGCATTTTGCAATTCAGGAAAATCGTGTGAAATGTGACTATTTTGGGAAAAAATGATTTAATTTCATTTATTGATGCAAAATCGTCGTGATAATTTGTAACTTCAAAACCCTGTGAATTGTTTCATTGTTGTCATATGGCAGTCGATAAATATTTATTAAATAAGCTTATTTACTTACCTGCCTACTTACTTACTTACTTACTTACTTACTTACTTACTTACTTACTTACTTACTTACTTACTTACTTACTTACTTACTTACTTACTTACTTACTTACTTACTTACTTACTTACTTACTTACTTACTTACCTACCTACCTACCTAGATTGAAAACGATCCACAGCCTGATGCATCCGACTAATGCACCCACATCAGTAGAGACAAAGCCGCAAAGACAATCCGCTTACGAAGTGGGATGCCCTGTGTTTGCCCGCGACTACAGAACGAACCACGGTCCTTGGGCAGAAGCGCGAGTGGTCAGAAGAGTTGGACGAGTTATGTACGAAGTAGAGGTAGGAGGTGATAAATGGTCACGTCATCGAAATCAGATACGCAGACGGCTAGCCCTAGATCGCCCATCAAGAGCAGAAAGCCTTCTCCTGGATATCCTGCTTGATACCTTCAACCTACCGGCAGCCCCAACACGAGAAGAAACTCAGCAGCAAGCTGTTCTCCGTTCCCGAAGTTATCCTCTCAGAAAGCGGCAAACGACAGTCAAGATACAAGTCGACCCCAGGAGAACACGTTATTAAAAAGGGGGGAGGAGTGTTGGGGATGTTAGATCCCCAAAACTCGCTTGATAAATGCCCCAACTTGGATTTCACGTTTGCCAGAATGGGCTGATCAGTTGACCCTGAGATTTCATTCCGCAGCAGGAAAATCCATGGCTGTGATTGGCTGTTGTGTATTTTAGTGTGGTATTTTCGTAACTGTCCCAAGGACGTTTCTATGCTGTATAAATAAACGAGAGTTGTATGCTTGATTGTACTGTGATTGCTGGGTGCTTGTAGAAGATACTTTCTACGCTTACAAAGTCTTTTTACTGGCATGGGGATTCAAGGTAGCCTACCTGGACGGTGGTAATTGTCTCGTTCGCGTTTATCGACTAAGTGACGAACTTATCAGACATTCACACCATTAGATACCGTCTCAGTTGTCAAGAGGTTAGAAATCCGCGCGCAAGACTGATGGTCCTGTGTCCGAATCCTGTGAGGTTCATGAGTCGTGGATGCGTACTGCCACTGATGAGTCCCATACCAGTACGAAACGGCCGTTATTCAGTGCTTCCAAGTTTCCGATAGTTGTCTAACATCGATCGATTCATGATTTCAAATGTGTTACTTGACAATCTTCACAACAACTTAGTGATAAATATATTTCCCATAGTTCAAGTTTTGATAACGCTTGTAAATATTATTTGACGGCATGATAGTTAATATGACTTATGATAATTGTTATGTACGTGTGTTAATGATGAACTATATGACATGATGTTTTACTAAGCGTTAACGAATAATATTTTTGAGAGAACTCCATTATTTGAATATACCATGCTATCACAAATTATCTATTGGAAACGTAGAGTTGGATAGTGGCGACTATCAATCAGTGGAATTCACAAAACAAACGTTTTGTTCCAACCCAGAACTCATCTGCAATTGCATGAACCAACATCTCAGAGTGAATGTTCATTTCGGGATAACAAAACCCAGTAGCGTTCACTTCAATTATCATCGTAGCATCCACACTACTCCTCACCCACTGAATCTTGATAGGCACTATCTACAACTCTGTTATTATTGCTGAGATAATCCACAGACCAATATCGAGTCAATTTGCACAGGATATCTGTGTGCCGGAAAAAGACACTGATCACAATTACTGTCGTAAATATTAATAGCAAGATTAAAAAAAACAACCGAATACAAAGAAATCAGTATTGGAAAAGTTAGAATTTTCAAATCTACTTCTTTCATTATGATTATTGCGTTTGCTATTACTACTATTACAACTATTGATATTTCTATTGTATAGATTATTGCGTATCTGTTTGCTGACTAAATGACGAGTGTACTGCACAGCAATTCACTCCGTTCTATTATATGGCTGTGAAACATGACCAGTCAGAATAGAAAATTTTCGTAGGTTGTTTGTGTTCAATCATAGGTGTCTCTGAAGCATTGCTCGTGTATTATGGGACAACCGAATGAGCAGTGCTGTTGTTAGGAAATGCATCAATAGATGAAGTGTTGAAACTTCATGCTTTGAGGTGGTTGAGACATGATTTACGTGTACCTAACCACCGACTTCCTTGATGAACTATATTTTATGGTATAGGTGTCGGTTGGAAGAAAGCTAGGTGCGGCCAGACCAAAACGTTGCAGAAATCCATGAAGTCACTGACAAGTGGACTGAGTCATGTTTGTAGGTGTCGACTACCTGATTATGGTCTGCTGGATGATAGCATTCGATTGTTGGAGACCCTGAATTTCATGGCTCAAAGCCGATTGCAATAGCGCAGTCGCATTAATTCACTGTGTTCTCTCAAATTCTAACCTTCAGAATTTCTCATCATCTCTATGTTTCTCTCTCCAAAATTATCTCACTGAACTACACTTCTTGAATAATATCTTCGATCCCTAATATTCTTTATTACCGCATATACTTCTACTACCTGTACTATACAATGGGATTTGAAGTGACGATTGCGTCTCTTTGTGCTAATATGGTATGGCAACTTGAACTGATGTGCATACGTACGAAGTTCTACGTTACTGTTTATTGATTGATTGAAATTACTGGATAACTGTATTGATATTTCTCAAAAAATTTTTGCATTCTCAGCTTCCAGCGTTCTTACCATTCTATTTATTATTACGAAATAGTTATGTAATATCCATTTGGCTCTCTGCTACTTATAGCACTACTGTGTTGTAAAGTATACTTTACTTTCTTATTTAGTTTTTCTATGAGATTTAATCATTTGTGTATATTAGCTTACACTTATTTATGCCAATAGTTAGATACACTGGACTGGACTGGATGATTAAAATATAATCTGTTAGAATAGTAGTAGCTTTGTGGTGCTCGCTACTTATAAGTAGTATATAAAGCAAGTAAAAACGTAATGTCTGGCAGCAGAAGATGGGGCAAGATCAAGAAAGTAAGAGCGGGAACACAATGGGATTTGTATGAAACGCATGAGCAGTGATATGTCAAACAATGGATTGATATTTTGTTTAACTCTGTAATTTGCGATAAATACAATTCGGTTGCCCTCACCTGTGTTCTCCTTCACTACAGCTTTACTGTAAACTTATCTATGGATTCAAAGTTGAGGAAAGTTTTCGAACAGATTGATCAACAGAAGTATAGCTACAGTAATTCGATAAGGTTAATATTCAGCTCAAAACGTACAAATTAGTCAAGGCTAAGGATGTTAAGCTGTGGATGAAGTAACAACATCTGATTGAAAAACGAATTATTATCCGAATTCGGATTAATTAATTTAACATGTTGATGTCTATCAACGTACAGACGAAGTCATAACATAAGACACTTTAGTGGCTGTGTTCATTTCGAAGTAGAGCTCATAGTTCCAATTCTCAACAAATGATTGAATATGCCATGAGATAAATCTTGCCTTCAATTTTCGCTAATCCGGTTCAGGCGAACCCCGTTTGTAATAAGACACCAAATACTGATTTAGTTGGATCATTTTTTCAATTACAGTTATGGAGATTAGTGTTTTTATACGTTGAAATCATCAATCGATCATTGTTAGACTACCAGTAGAAACCTGGGAACACTGGATGGCCTTTTCGTTTTGGTATGGAACTCATCAGCAGTGCCCATCCACAACTCCTGAACCTCACAGAATTCGAACCCAGTACCTTCAGTCTTGTGCGAGGACGCCTAACCTTTAGACCACTGGGCGGTCCAGTGATTCCAGGTTTCTAATGGTGGTCTAACAATGATTGATTGATGATTTCTACAATCGTAAATCATCTGGAACTACAAACTAACTATCGACAAACACCAGTGTCACAATTTTCACTACAAATGTCAATAAAGTCCTACTGTATGGGAGTACCACGGAAGCCATTTTCCGAAAGATACCAATGTTTATTAACAGTTGTGTACGCAAGATACTGGGGTTTCTTTGTCCAGACATTATCAGAAACAACGTACTGTGGGAGAGAACAATCAAGATTGCACCAGATGAAGAAACCAGGGAAAAGAGTTGGAGGTGGATAGGACACAGTTTGAGGAAAGCACCCGATTGTATCGCAAGACAAGCCCTCACTTGGAATCCGTGGGGCCGAAAGAAAAGAGGAAGACCAAAGGACTGGAAGAATTTGAAGCAGACTTTGTAAAGAATGTACAACAGTTGGAAAGGAAGGCACAGGGCAGAGGAGGTTACAGAATGCTGGTCAGAGGCACATGCTCCATTGAGGTGGAGGGGGAAGAAAGAGGCATAAGTAAGTAAATTGTTATAAAACTAGACTAATTCTTACAATTTGGTTTTCATATTTATAAATCAACAAACTTTTAATTTGTATTGATCGTTTTATTTCTGCAGACTATTACGTAATTTAAAAGATTCAGATACTAACATAAATTTCTTGACCAGAGTTTATTGTAAGAACATATGTATCTTCGATTATTTCTGGTAATATTTCATTGATTTAAATCGTATGAATTCTATACATCTGGAGGTTTGTTTAAATATTTGAACTATCTATTTTTATTCTTTAACATCAAATTACTTCTCTAAGTTTCATTTTAACACGTCAATTATTTTGACTAATTGCATCAATTAATCACGCGCGCATATTTAAAAACTTTTCTAATCTATCTCTTTATAAAGTACAAAGATGTATGATTCAAGATATCTTGATGGCTGGGCAATTTGCTGACAAGCGAAAGAACGATAACATGATGTTAATTTACACATTGGAAACCATAAAATCGATCGATGTTAGACCAACATAAGAAACCTGGAAACACTGAATGACGGTCATTTCGTCCTAATATGGGACTCATCGGTGGC